CCCCAGCCCTACCCTGCGGGGCCCTCGGGAATATGCCGGGGCCGGGGGTGGCTGCCCCCCCGCCCCCCCTTCCCACACGGAAGCTCCGGCCATGCCCCCGGCCACATCCAGCCAGACGCACCCGGGCGCAGGGCCGGGACTCATGCTCCTTTCAAGATGAGCCAGGCCCAGGCACTGGGCCGGTGAGGCGCTCGACTAAACCCCTCCCCCTTCTGCCTCTCCCCTCCCCCCCCCTGGCCCCTCCCAATTGCCTCCCCCCTCTCTCTGTCTCCTCTTTCTCCCTCCCTCTGCACAGATCGCCATGCTCTCTCGGTCTGTTGGTCTGGTTCGCGTGGCCAGCGCGCGCCCGCTTCTGCGCACCCTCAGCCGCCCGTTCTCTTCGGCGGCCACCCCGCCGGGAGCCGCTGTCGGCTTTGATGAGGACTACGTCGACGAGCCGCCCACCGAGGAGGAGCCTGCCCCGGCCAAGGCCGGCTTCGTCAAGTCGCCGCTGACCCGGCGCCAGCCGGCGGCCTCTGCCGGGGCCTGGTACGCCGAGCTGCTGGAGGTTTCGCCGCTCGTGGCTCCGTCGGTCGACCCGGCCGACATGTACCTCGACCAGGCGGCCGCCCTGGCCCAGAAGGAATCCATCACGGCCTGGGTCAAGGGCAAGATCGCCGAGGTCGGCATGGCCCATGGTGTGTCTGATGGGTCGCTCGGTGACCGGGAGAGCAAGTTTAAGGTGCGTTGCTTTTCCTCCGTCTTTCCTCCTCCTTTGCACCTTGGTGGCCCGGGTTCGCTTTTCATCTGTCCGCTTCTCACGCGCCCCTCTTTTCGCCGCCTCCCGTGGGCCGCCCCCCCTTGCCATTGTGGCCGGGCCGCCCGGGGCCTCGAACAACCGCCTGCTCCTCGATTGCAGGTCCTGGCCGAGCTTGAGAAGGGCTTCGGCTTCCGCGTGCCCAACCACATCCTCACCTCGGTGGCCAGCATGGACGACGTGGCTGCCTTCTACACCCCGGTCCTGACTTCGCCGATCCAGAGCGCCCTGGTGCCGACCGCCACCTCCGACATGATCGACATCCCGGCCAACTTGATTTTCACCACCTCGGTCCGGCGCAAGTCCGATGACAACTGAGTGCCCGCTGTCTCTCGTCGCCTCTCTCTCTCTCTCTCTCTTTCTCTCCCTTCCTTTCGGTGGTGCGCGTGGCAGCCGGCTGTTCACGCATGAGCCACACGCACACGCGCACACACACACACACACACACACACGCACACGTACCCCCCACGCACACACCCAGGCCTAAGCCCCGCCCAGCCGACGAACAGTCCCTAGCCCGGCATGCTCTGCCCCCCCCCCCCCTCCCCCCCCCGCGCGCGTCGGCGACACAGCGCGGCGAGGTCCCAGCTCGGGAGGGACAAGGAAACCTCCGGCCACACACGGGGGGCATCCATGATGCTCCCCGGTCCGCGGCTCGCGCCGGGGAACCGCGACTCCGACCCAAAACCAATAGACTTCAGACCTCGTGATCTAAATCCAACTGCCCACTATGGCTGGTGCCCCGCGAATATCCGGGGGCACCTCTCCTTTCGTCCAAGCGTGGGGCCGGGGGGGGGGGGCGGGTCCGGAACGTGTACATCGGCGGCGAAGGTCCCATTCCGGCCGTCTGACAAGAGCGCAGCGGCCGGGCTCCAGGCTGTGGTGCTCTTTTCTGGATGCGCGCTGGCCGATTCTCTCCGCCGAACTCCGGGCCCGGTCTGGACAATCGGCCCTGATCGCGTTGCGTTTGGCCGGAACAGGGCGGCCCGGGCCCTCGGGGGGGGGGGGCCACACACAAGGGCGCCGGTTCCCAGGCGGGGGAGGGGTTTTTTCTCGACCCCCCACGCCGTCGCCTCCTCAGGTGAGTCTACCTTTCGCAAGTGCCTTTTGCCCTTTCCCCACCTCCCCCCCCCCCTGTTGTTGCTTGCCCAAATGTCGCACCTGTCCTCCTTCTTCCGGACGGTGCATATCCACTCGCCGGGCCTGATCGGCCGTTCGGCCGCCCGGCGCTTCCACAGCCCCACCAGCGCTCCGAGCCAGCACTCGCCGCAGGGCAACGCCTGGGGCAGCGTTTTCGGCGGGCAGTCGGTCCACCCGTCGCCGCCGAATCCGGGCGCTGCGCGGCCCATGGGCGGCGCTCCGCCCCGGTACCAGCCGCCGCCGCCGCACCTGCGCCAGATGGGCCGGCCGCCTGGCGGCCCGTCGGCCGGTGCGCCGTCCGGCTCTCGGCCGAGCCACGGCCGGCCAGGCGGTGGCAGTGGCGGCGGCGCGGGTCGGCCCGGCTGGCCTGGCCATTCCGGCCGCCATGGCCAGCCCACCCCGCCGGCTCAGCCCTCCGGCAGCAAGTTCCTCTATCTGGGCCTGGCGGCGGCCCTGGCACTGGTCATGTCGCTAGATCGGGTCACGGAGACCGGCCGCGTGCGGGTGAACTTCATTTCCCCGAACACCATGAAGATGATCGAGACCCGCGTGCGCGGCGCCGCCCTCAAGGACATCAAGGGCGCCCAGCTGCCGCCCAACCATCCGGTGCGCACCCGAGCTGCCGGCGTGGCTGCCATGTCTGCCTGCCCGCCTCGCCTGCCTGCTTTTCCTTTTGCCCGCCTGGGCCTGCACGCTGCTGGACTCGGGCCTAACATTGGATCCCCCTCTGGTCGGGCCCCTTGGCGCAGTTTGTCCAGCAGGTCGCCCAGGTGTCCAAAGCCCTGCTGGTGGCCGCCCAGCAGGACCCGGGCCAGTGGAATATTGTGGTCCTGGACAAGGACGTGGCCAATGCCTTTGTGACTCCCTTCCGCGATATTGTCATCTTCTCCGGTCTTCAGGAGATCACCCAGGACGAGAATGGCCTGGCCACGGTCATCGGCCATGAGGTGCGTCATCGCCGGTGACGCGCCATCGCCCGCTGCGCGCCCCTCTCGCCCGTGTCCCATGACTGACATGTCCGGGGCAGATCTCCCACTACATGCTGGACCACCATGCCGAGAGCATCTCCATGCAGATCCTGAGCAACATCGCGCGCCTGGCCCTGGCTGCCTTCGATGGTGGCGCGCTGTCGGGCACTCGCTTCTTCGATGTTCTCTTCAACCTGCCCTTCTCGCGCAGCTGCGAGCGCGAGGCTGACCATCTTGGGTGCGCTGCCCCTTTCCCCCCCCCCCCCCCCCCCCCTCCCCCGCCTGGGGCCTTGCTTTTGTTCTCCTTTGGCCACGCGCGATCCCGCACCCGCTCACCGACTCCCTGATGATGCTCTGCCGCTCGTGAACCGCCTCGCCCTTTCGCCCTCCCCCCCCCTCTCTCTCTCTCTCTCTCTCCGCCCAGTGTTCTCCTCATGGCTCGGGCCTGCTACGATCCGTCGGAAGCGTCGTCGGTATGGGCGCGCATGCGCTCGCACGAGGGGCGCCTGTCGAACTCGCCGGTCGCGGCGCGGCTTGGCTCGCTCCTCAACTCCCACCCGAGTAGCATCGAGCGCGAGGCCAACATCAATTCCCACCTGCCGGAGGCCCGCTTCCACCGGAAGCTGGCTCGGTGTGATGTGTCGCAGCAAACGCGCGACGGCTTCAGCCGGTTTGCCTCCTCCTTCTTCTCGGATCGCCCCTCGATGTTTGACTCGTCCATGGAGGCCGAGGAGCTGCGCGATGTCTCCGGCCACATTCCGCCTCTTTTTGGCCAGCGCCTGAAGGAGCCCAAGGACATCTACATCGAGTAGGGCAACAAGGGGACCGGCTGCCTTTCGAGGGATATCGTGCTCTCCTGCCCTCTTTTTCCCCCCCCCCCCCCCCCCCCCCCCGTTCTTGCTTCCAGGTATATCCGTCGCTGTCGGTCGATCTCCCGATGCCCGCGTGTGAGGGTATCAAATGGAATAGCTCGAGCTGCATCTCACCTTTGCTTGATTGTTTGTCGCCCTGTGCCCGTGCTGCCAGCCGTGGCCGAGAGCCCGACCAAGGGAGTCATGAGGCCGTCGGGAGCGGGGCGGGACTCATGGACGAAAGAAGGCGGGGTCGTATGGAACGGCATCTGGAGAGAGAGAGAGAGGGAAGGCGAGAAGGATGGAGGGAAAGAGGGCATGGGAAAGAGGGTAGCGGAGGGAAGCAGAGAGAGAGAGAGAGGGAGGGAGGGACAAAGAAAATGGGGGGGAGAGGGAGAATCACAGATGGAGGGAGGATGACGACCGGGGCAAGGCGTCAGAAGGACAGAGGCGAGGGGAAATCGACAAGCGCTACCGAGTGGGCCTGCAGCGAGGGACTACTTTGGAGCCGGACAACAGAAGCAGGGCGGGGCTCAAGTCGCCGGCGGGGGGACGAAGCCGAAAAAAAAAGCAAGAGCGAGGGCAAAAGGTAGAAGGTGACTCAATGATATTGGGCCTTTGCATCATCGATACACTCGAGACTGCGCTTCAACCCAGAAGCGCCCCATGTCCTATCCTTGTCGGAAGAGGAACATGCCGGAGGGCCTTTTATACCCTGGCAGGAGGCCGGCTCCGCATGGCCGGAGTCAAAGTGCCACCCTCAATTGAATGACAATGTGACCGGGGCCGGAGGGGCACGGCCATTTCCCTCTCTCAAACCCCGGTCGATCGGTCGATCGGGCAAAATGTACCCCAAGCCCCAAAAATGGCGGCCGGGGGGGGGGGCAATGAGAGAGGAGGCAAAAACAAGAAATGGGCCGATCTATATTTTTAGGCGCCCGGGGAGCGTCCGGCCACAGGGGGGGGGGGGGGGGGGGGGGGGGGGGGGGGGGGGGGGGGGGTCCTGGCTCAGGACGACTTGGATGGCTCGGGGGCCGCCAGCGGGTCAAGCGGATGGGGCACTGGCGGCCAGTCGACCGGCTCGGCCAGGGCTCGGAGCAGGAGCCGACGCACGGTGTCCACCGAAGCCAGGGCATTGTCGCGAGCCGGAGCAGCCTCGCCACCAGGCCCGGTTGCCGGCAACCAGCCTGGCCCGGCCGCATGCCACCAATGCCAGTGCCCGAGGACGCCGGCCAACAAGGGGAAGAGGTGGAATTCATGGTGCGCAGGCATCAACTCGATGACCGCGGCCCCGGGCGGGCAGAGGAGCATATTGTAGAAGGCCCCGCCATGGGGGCCCAGCAGGACGGCCGCCCGTTCGAAGAGCGGCGCCGCCGACAGCAGCGACCCGGCTCCCGACGGGCCGGGAGGCGCCGGGGGCGGGTTGTCCTCGGTCGCGCGCCCGGCCTCGAAGAACACCGGCCGCAGGGGAACCCGGTGCAGCGACCCATCGGGGTGCCGGTAGGTCCGGACCCAGGGCTCGGCCTCCAGCATGCGCCAGATGGCCAGCTCATTGGGCAGGCTGCGGCCATTTTGCGCGCCGGTGGCTCGCTGCAGGAAAACCAGCCGATCCGGATGCCGGGGAAGGGCTCCGGCCGGGGCCGGCGAATCCGGCCATTGCCCCTCGCGCCCGGGTGGCCGAAAGCCCCGGGCCCGGCGCAGCAGCAGACCCCGGATGCGCCACCACAGGACCGGGTGCCAGATGGGGACCTCGGCGAAGGTGACAAATTCCTTGGCCAAGAAGAGAGCCCCTTCGGAGTCCGGGGCCGGGGGGGCCGGAGCAGCAGCTTCATGGGCCTCCGGCAGGTCCGGCAGCACGCACACCGCCTCGAGCTCCGCCCGGGGAAAGAGCCCGGCGGAGCTTTGGCGGATGGAGGGGAGCCGCCGGCCGGGCCCGGCCAGGCCGATTCCAGCCCACAGAAGATCCCCGGCGCGCGCCGACCCCGGGGTACAGGTGGGACCGGGGTTGACGGTGGCCGTGTGCGGCGCAAAGGGGACCTCCCCAGTGAGGACCGTCAGTTCGTTGGCCCCGAGCTCCGGCAGGAATTCCGCCATCATGGCCAGCCGTGGCAGGCCGGCATCAATCAGATGCTGGAACATGCAGCCAAGTGGCACGCGCAGGTCGACCGCCACCGGGACCACGGGCAGGGGATGTTGGCTGGGGGATTTGGGGGGGGGGTCCCGCGCGTGCGATTTTCGCGTCAATGAGGAGGGTAAAAAAGGGAGAACGCGACAGGGGGGAGGGGGGGGGGGGTGGACCTGGCAACCGGAGAATGGGTCCTGGAAGATCCACGACCAGGGCACTCCTCGGTACACACGCACACACACACACACACACACACACACACACACAAGCAAGCAAGCAGGCAAGCAAAGAAAGGAGCCGACAAAAAAACCGAAAGAAGAACGAAGGCACCCAAAAGAAGGCCGGCCTCACGGGGAGAGACGCACAAGTCCCCCCATGTGCTGGGGCCACACTTGCCCACCGGGACATTGGTGCGGATGGAGCTGCGACCGGTGGTGTGGAGGGGCGCATGGAAAATCCAAAGCCCCGGGTCCGAGGTTCCGGCGAAAAAGTCGTCCGCCGGCCCGTTGGCGGCCGCGGCACAAAGTTCCGTCAGGCCTCGGCGTCCAGCGGGGGTCAGCCCGCGAAGACTATCCTCAGGCCGACCGGACCATTGGTCAAAGCCAACCGCATGCCAAACCACGGGTGGCAATGGTGCGAGGGGAGGAGGCGGAGCCGGGGCACCGGCCGGACGTCCCGGGCCGCGCGGCATGCCGCCCAAGCGCCGGCCCGCTTCGGCGGCCCCTTCCCCGAGGGCTCCGACCGCCGCACAGGACAGCTGTGTGGCCCGGCGCCAGCTGGCCGCCGGGGCCTCCCCCTGGAAGAAGAGCGCCCGGTGGAGCGGATCCAAAAAGGAGGGCGGTCGAACTCCAAAAGCCGGGAACTCAAAGCGGATGACCTGCACATGGGATGCGGCCCGGCCGGCCCCGGTGCTGGTATCCGGCCCGGCATCGACCACCACCCCGCCGGCGGCCAGCAAAAAGGGCGCGCGCCTGGAGGCGGCCGATGCATCCTTGGCCGCTGACCGAGACACCAACCCGGCGGGGTCGTTGCCGGTACCGGCGGCCCCGGGGCCCCCGTCGGGCGGTCCTCGCAGCAGATACAGCACCGCCAGGCAGGCAAGCCCAAGGACCGCCGGCGGCAGCAATCGCCGGAGCGATCGCGGCAGGAGCATCGACCGGATGCCGAGCAGGCCCGGAGGTCTGGGGACCAGCTGAAGGACAGGGAGCGGAGCAGGCCAGGCAGGCCGACAAGCTGACAGGCAGGAGGACGAGCCGAGCAGCAGAGGTGCGAGGCGGGAGGAAGGGAGCAAGTGGCGGCGGGGGGAAATCGGCGAGGCTTGTCGCGATCGTCGAGTGACCAGGCCCACGGCCGGGGGGACTTTTTCATGGCCGCCGCCGTGTGTGCCGAGAGATCTCCGGCCATCCCCGGGGGGGGCCCCCTGCTCCGGCGGGGGGCAGATCCCCCAGCGTCGAAACTGCCCCGGCCGGAGGCGATCGGCCCCCCCCCCCCGCTCCCGCTGCACTCGCTGACAGGGCTCCGCGTCACGTGCCTTCGCCCGGAGATTGCGCCCTCCCCGACTTCGATGCTGGCTGCGGGCAGATGCGGTGGGGCTTTTTTTTTTTTCCGGCCACTCCCCAGCGTGTGCCATCTTCTCCCGGGCGCATTCGGGGCGTGCTTCACCGGGGGCCGGAGACCGATCGGTGGGTGTGGCAGCGACACGGGTCCCTGACAATGGTGGTCTATCTCTATTTTAGCCGAGGCGATACACTGCCAAAGGCATTGCTGGGCTGCGGGGGAGGATATAAGGGGGAAAAAAGACAACAAAGAACCCTGGAAAGAGAGAAGGGAGAGCGCGAGAGCGAGAGCGAGAGGAGGGAGGGGGCATGGGCACACGCTAATACAAACACACACACACACACACACACACACACGCGCGCGCGCGCGCACGCACGCACGCACGCACGCACGCACGCACGCACGCACACATGCACACATGCACAAGGGTGTGCGCCAGTGGGCGTCCCCCCGAAGCCCCATCAGCCGCCATCCGGCTCAGTGGTCCCTGGCCGCCGCGGCCGCTCCGGCCAGGAGGCGCTGATGCAGGCGGCCGGTCAAGATGATGAGCAATCCCCGCAGGGCGGCCCCGGCCCGGGCACGGGCACGGAACAGGCGCACCACCAGCAGCGCCAGCAGGAAGCTCGTGCCCAGGGAGACGCCCACCCCGAGGGGCCGCCGCTGGAGCAGGGCCACGGCCGTGTTCAGCATGGCACCCAGGCTGGCGGTCACGCCGCTGCCCACATCCCGGCCAGTCGCCGGGCGAGTGGCCGCCCGGCTGCCGCCGGCGGCGGCGGCCGCCCCGCCGGAGCCCGTCCCGCCGGTCGGGCCCCAGAAGCCGGACTGCTGATGGGGGTGGGCGAGAGGCCCGGGGGAGGAAGTGCCCCAGGTGCCGGATGGGGGGCCCGAGGCGTGGGCCTGGCCGGCGGCCAGGGCCACGGACGCGCGTGCGCTCAAGGCCCGGCCAGCCGGCGGGATGTCCACCGTCCGGCAGGTGCCAGGCTCCTCCTCTTCGGGGAAGTCCCCGCTGCCGGAGAGGCCCGAGGTGCCCGGACGAGATGGGTGGCGCTCGGCCGTGGCCTGGCCGGCCGCGCGGCCGCACGGCTCGCCATGGCCCCCGGCCTCACTGTCATCCTCCTCGTCCAGGCCATCGTCATGGATGCGACTGATGCGCCGGGAGCCCTGAACCGTGATGTCCTTCCAGGCCGAGGCCGGGGCCTCGGCGGAGGCCGGCCGATGGCGCCCGGCAGGCCGCCACCCTTCGGGGCGCCGGTGGCGGACCAGGATCTTGACCATGGCATCGACGGCCGTCTCCGCGGTACTGCCAGCCAGGAGGGAAAGGTCCACGAAGATGCGCACCTCGCTGGCCTTGGGCCCGAGGCGCTCATCGACACAGTACCATGCCCGGACCAGGCACACGGTGGGGTGGGTGGATTCGATGTGCAGGTCGGCCCCGAAGGGGAAAGCCTCCCGGGGGATGCAGATGACCGTGCGGCTGGGCCCCCGGGGGGGCATGTCCCCGGGCAGGTGCCGTGTCGGCCGCAGCCGGGCCAGCAGGTTCAATTCGAAGTAGCCCTCCTGCTGGAAGTGCGCCGGTTCGCCTCGGGCAATGGCTCCGCCCACTTGGCGCACGTAGGGCGATGGGCCGTGCTTGTGCAGGTGGTCCGCCATCCGATCCACCACCAGCGGAATTTCCGACCTGGCCACCATCAGCAGGTACTTGGGCAGCCAGCCACACGGGTCGGTCATGCTGATGTCTGTGGGGGCGAAATGCCCGCCCGGCCGGCCGGGGTGCAGGCATACCCCCCGCAAAAGCCCGACCACCGGGCGCGGCGCCCGAGCGAGCATGAGAGCGATGCAGCATCGCAGGACAGGGGCGGGCGGCGGGGGGGGGGGGATAGGGTGATTATGGCGGGTGATCGATTTGAGCGTACGCCCCGTGCCCATCGGTGGGGGGTGCATTGGATTTTCCACGCACATTGAATGGGTCATGCCGAGCGTGCGTGCGTGTGAGCGCGTCCGAGAGAGAGAGAGAGAGAGAGAGCACAGGTAAGTAATCATCGGACAGGGGCCCTTGAGAAGGTGGAGGGTGGGCGTCGTGCGATGGCGTGTGTGTGGGCGGGTATGCGTTTGTGTGCAAGCCCACATCCATGCCCCAGTGCGTGTGCGTGTGTGTGGGTGCGCGCGCGCGCGCGCCGGGGCCGGCAGGCAGCCGCAGTGGCCAGGCGAGGCCTCATGGCCGGGGGGCACGCACGGGTGAGCATGGTCCGCGGGTGTTCCATCGTGGAATCGGGCGCCGGCTCGGCAGCCCAGAAGAGGACGTGCGTTTGCATGCGCACACAGCCGACCGGCGACCGGCTGTCCAGGGCCCGGGCCCAGGCCGGCACGTCCTGCTCCTCATTCAGCTGGGGGCACCCCATGCCGCCGAAGGACACGCTGTTGTGCAGCAGGGTGCCCCCGTGGCCGGAGGCCGGGTCCCACTGGTGCCCGGGCGTGTGGACCTCCTTGAAGTGACAGAGAACCACCATGTCCCGGGCCGACACCCCGAGGCGGCCATTCACCCGGGACTGGCTGATATAGGTGTCCGGGGCCAGGACCCGCCGAATGACCGCCCAATCATACAGCGGGACATCCCACTTCCGCCGGGGCTGGTTGTCGTACACGCAGGCCAGCAGCTGGCGCGGGGTCATGCCGTCAATCACGGTCCGGCAGGCGATCACCCCGAGCGGGGCCTGGGGATCGGCCCGCATGTAAACCTGCATGCGCACGCGCCCCATCGACCCGAGACTGGTCCACTTGCTTTTGTCCTCGGCATGCAGGTGCAAGGCTCGCTCCCAGGCCGCATCGCGCAGGGCCTCGGCCTCCGGGGGCAGGACGCATCCATGCAGGGCGTCCAGGCCGCAATCGATGGTCGGCGGTTGCTGACCGTCGGCCCCGGGGGCCGGGCCAGCGGCCCCGTCCACCGGCAGCGGCGCCAGCTCCAACATCCGGCTGCCCTGGTCGGTCAGGGGGGTCGGGTGCTTCGGGCCCCCGGGCAGGCACTTGTTGGCGAAGGGTCGCCGGAGGCGGGGGCCGGCGTGGCCGCCCAGGGCACTTGAGGGCCGGCCACCGGCCGGTCCGAGCTCCAGGTCATCGGCCAAGCCGGTGGAGGCGCTGCTGGCCGGGGTCAGCGGGGATGACCGGGCGTCCGTGAAATAGGACGAGTCATCGGTGGAGGTCAGGTCCAGCGGCGAGGACCCGGAGGCCATGAGCCCGGACAGGGCGGGGTGCTGCGGCCCGGGGCCACACATCGCTGTGGCGCCGGAGCGCACCCCCTCGGCCGCCTCACTTCGGGCCATATCCTCCATGGAGAGTCGGTGCGCTATGGGGCCGGGGGGGGGGGGGGGGCGTTCCACAAGCGGCAGAGACCCCGGCACCGGTGGTCGAGAGGGTCCCAACCACGGGAAATGCCCGATACCAGCCCGGGGGCGTGGAGAAGGAGCGCCGGGAACAGGGCAGCAGCAAGAGCCAGGGCCAGGGCGGGGCATGGTGATGCGGGAGATTGTCGGGAATGCGACAAGCGCGGGTGTCGGAGGAGCGAAACTGTCAGACACTCGAGGGGCCGAAAGGAAAAACAAGCTGCCCCTGCCGGAGCCGGCCTCCTTCGTCGCTCTCTTTGACCCCTGCACATGGCAATACACCCACCCCAAGAGAAAGAGCAAGCACGCCACGCCACCAACAGCCCGAACACCATGCCCCGAAGGGGCACCCTAGGGAAGACTCACCGGCTGGGCGAATGGCAAAGCCGTTGACCGAGAACTCCGGACCGGGGGCACCCATGGAGTCGGAGGAGGCATCCTCCTCGGCCCAAATGCGAATCCGATAAAGAGGCCGCTGGGCTTCGAGCTCCGGGCAGTCGACCGGCTCGGGGGGCGGACCGCCGGGGCCCGGCCGGCGGGCGGCCGGGCTGCGCACGACCACCGGCGAGTCGGTGGCTTCGCGCTGGCGCAGCAGCCCCTCCCAGGCCAGCTGCCGGGCGGTGTCGGCCACCTGGCGACCGGTGCTCAGCCGGCCGGCCGGGCTGTGGTAAATGCGGATGATGTGGCCGGCCAGATTGGCCACACTCACGCGGTACACCTCCACCGCCTCGACGGCCACGGGCTCCGGCAGGGCGGCGCCCTCGGCGGCCACCGCACAGTGGACCTGCCCGCGACTGCGCAGGTGCCCCGGGACCGGGCAGCGGTGCTGCGCGGCGAAGTCCCGCCGGGAAAGCCCCCCGGCCGGGGAGTACCCCGCGTAGCAGGGCACCACGACCGACACCTCGGCCGCGAAGCCGGTCCCATAGCGCACGCTGTCCACAAACAGGTCGGTGAAGGGCAGCCCGGCGCGAACGTGCGCCGCGCCCGGGGCCGGGGCGCGCCAAGCCAGCTCGAACAGGTCGCGCACTCGGCGCGAGGGGGCCGCCCCTCCGGAGCCGCGACGGACCAGCGGCCCCGGCACCGAGGTCCTGGTCAGCATGTGTCCCGGCCCGGGCCGGGCATCGACCTCCGGGAAGGGGCTCAGGCAGGCGGTGGCCTCGGCCCCTGGCGGCGGGGCCGGCCCGCCGGACAGGCCCGGCCCCGCCAGCGGCTGCACACGCGAAAGCCGGTGGAAGAACTGCATGTCGCACAGGGCCCGGGACCGGACGCGCACCGGGAAGGGCAGGCCCCCGGACTGGGCCACCGCCTCGGCCACCCGCAGGACCCCGGCCGCCATCTGGCTGGACACGAAGCCCATGACCACGCGCGGGATCCACCCCTTGAGGTCCACGTCGCCGATGTAGGTGACCCGGGTGCCGATGCTGACGAAGGGCGTCTCGACGGCCGGGTCAATTTGGCACCCGGCATCCGGGCAGCCGCAGCCGATGACGCGCTGCAGCCGGCCGCGGCCGGTGGCCGGGGCATCCGGCCCCGGCAGCACGGCCGGCAGGTCCGGGCAGCTGTTGAAATGCGTGTCCCCGCGGAAGAAGTCCCCGGCCCGCGGGCAGAAGGACATCCCGGTCCGGGTGTCGAAGGCCACCGGCTCCAGCACCCAGCCAATGCAATGCGACCAGCCCCGGATGTGGTCGCCGGGCCCGGGATCCGGGCAGCCGGCCGTGCCGGGGCAGCGCTCCACCGACCCGGGCGCCGTCACCGGCACCGGGGTCTCCTCGGCCGTGAGGAAGAAGGGCACCTCGTCAAAGTGCCCCCGGTCCAGCAGGGCGTCGCCGGCGTCGGTCGAGGCGGCTGCCTGAATGAGGGCCCCGCTCCGGGGCTGGATCAGGCAGCGCGACACGAGGACAAAGTCGCGCGGCGCCACGCCGAACTTCTTCCGGGTGCGCGTTTGGGCCATCTGGGTGTTGCCGTCGACGTAGCTGCGGCGAGGCGGTGTGGTCGGGGGGGAGGGGGCAAGGTGCCACATGGCGGCGGTACATGGGCCGGGCAAGGGCGAAGTCGTGGGGGCGATCGGGCGGGTCACGGTCAGCATGGTGGTCGTCGCGGCGAGGGGGGCCAATGATGACGGGGTGGATCAGGTCAGCCAGGGAAGGGGGGCAGGGGGCGGCCACGGCCGGGGCGAGGCATGCCGGGGCCAGACCGAAGCACCAGCACGCACCGGAGGATCCGCCCCCCGGCGTAGTGATCATCCCAAATGGCACGGGAGGAGAGGGGCATCACCAGGCTGAGGAAGTGCCCGGGTGGGGCATGGGGGAAGAGGGTGACCGCCCGGCAGCGAGCCCGAGCCCCGCCGATGGGCTGCATGCTGACATCCACACCGAAGGGCAGCGGCGCGACCATGGTCACGCCGGTCCCTCCTCGAGCAGGCACCGCCACCCGCGACCGGCTGGTGTCCTGGTGCGAGTAGGGAGGCCACTCGGTTTGGCAGGCGCTATTCATGATCTACATCGCAGGAGCCCAGCCGGCACCCCAAGCAAGCGAACATGGTGGGGCAGTTAGTTTCGGCCGGTCCTGCCGAGGGGGGGGGGGGGCGGGGCGGGGCGCGGGACAACCAAATGCGATGGGGCTTGAGGCCACGGACCTCCAGGTTCTCGATTGCCTCTTGGGCCTCGCGGCAGAGGGTCCGATCAAGCTGGTGCAGGGCCACATCGCCGGCTGGCGGCTCGTCGGAATCGATGATTTCACGCGAGTAATTGTGATGGATTTCCGATCGCAGGGCCAGCGATGAGCGCTGGATCGGATGGGCACCCGGCGCATAGAAGCAGTAATCCGGTGCGGGGGTGGCATCGCGCATGGGGGAGGCGGCCTCGGCCGCCAGTCCGCCGGAGGTCATCGCGTCCTGACGGAAAGGCAGGGCGCAGAGCACCAGACAACAGGGGAGAGATGTTCAGAGCCCGCAGCAAGCCGGACTCACGGGAGGATTACCGGTATACACTCGAGACAAGGTGGACGGGGGGCAGCAGCAGGCAGGGCGACGACGAGGGGGGGGGGGGGGGGGGGGGGGGGGGGGGGGAGGAATGAACACGGTGCCAGGAGCTTCCTCCACCAGAGCGGCGCTTCTTGACCCGACGCCGGTCCAGCCCTGTGCCGGCATGTCCCCGAGCACGGTGGCCGGCCGACCGTGGACCGCGCATCAGTGACTCCCGCGTCCGGGCTGGACCGGCACGCGCCCCCGGGGACCCGCGAGGCATGTGCCCAGCCCATCGGCCCGCACCGGTCACAGAATGCCCTCCGTTCGCATTCACCCGGGCCGGTGCTCGGGACCAGCGGGGGGGGGGGGGGGGGGTGGGGGAGTGGGAGGAGGGAACGCGCTCTGTCGGGCCGTGAAATGCCCCCATGGAGCGCCGGCCCTCGGGAGATGAGGCAGCAGTGAGGATTAACATTCACAAGGGCCTGCCCCCTCTCGCCTTTCATCTCGATCGACGCGCTACAGGGTGGGGATGTGCCACAGGGGCCTCGCCAGAGCGGCTGGCCCTCAGCCATACCAAAATGAGGTCGGCCGCGGGAGGAAAACACCCGCGGCCGGTCGGGTTTAGTTTGAAAGAATTCACGCCGAAAGGCCCCACCCCTACCGGGCATTCTCTGGAGGGTGTGTCGCCCACCGAACTGGGTGTCGGTTCTGATGCGGGCCCCGGAGAGAGCCAAAGGACGCGAGAGAGGGAGGGCCAGAAACATGGCCCGTTCACGACGCCGCCGCCGGGCGCATGCCCATCACCGCGCCCAGTGTCGGCGAGCATGTCGTCAGTCCCCCGTGCAGTTAAAAGCAGCCGGGACATTTGGTTGGAAAAAGCGCGAACCAAGCGGGCGGGGGGCGCCTGCACATGGTCAGCCAGGACCACCCGAGAGATGGCCGACCTCTTCAGTGGGACTAGGGGGGCGAGTCGCAGCGGGGGGGGGCCTGCGGGAGAACCTCCATACTGACTGCCAGGACGGTCGGGTGCGCTCGCACGGGGTGGTGCGCTGGGCCCAGCCAAGGGGCTTCGCGAGTCTCCCGCCATATAGACAAGGGGTTAATGTAGCGCCTTGCATGTGAGAGTGTGCATGCATGTGAGTGTGCATGTGTGGGGTCTCATAGATGCGGGCAGGATACAAAACGCGCAAAAGGGACCCCCGCCATCCGGGCATCGATAAGCGCTTCACGTGAAAGGGGACAGACACTTTCCGCCATCCACGCCCCGGGGCCTAGCTCCAAGCTCGGGTGCCCATCTGCCTGAGCCGGGCAGGGGGGGGGGGGATCTGAGGGACCGGACAACCAGCCGGCCGACAGGCGCCTGCAGCCAAAGAGACCCAGGGACCGGCGGGGGGAGGGGGGGGGCAACACCAGCGCGTAGGCAGACACGCACTCCGGGCCGAAACGCGCCCGGGCCCCGATGGCAGGGGCACCTCACGCACCGGGGGACTTCTGCACCGGCCTTCAGCTGGCGCCGCCGCGTGAAAGTGCCTCCGGGCCCTCACCCGCAGATCGCGCCTGCCCCCCCCCCCCTCGCCCCAGGGCTCCCCGAGAACAGAGACCACAATCCTTCTGGTAACTCCAGACGCGGAAAACCCCACAATGTCGTCCGGGTTGCATCACGTGCCAGGCTTAATTGCGCGCCTGACCACGGCCGCCCGCACGCACAACGCTCCGCCAGCCGTCAGGCTCCCCGCCTCCGGGGGGGCCGAGCACACCCCCCCCCCCCCCCACGCGCGGGGGGACAAGAGGAGGGAACCATTGAAGCCCGGGCCGGGCATCGCGTGGTGATTGGGGCCGCCCCGCCGATGCCGATCGAATTGGTCCAGCGGGACACGGCCGGGGGCGGCCCGTGCCACCGCCATGGCCCGATGGTGAGGCCTTTATTTCGTGCCCACCTCCCACTCGGGGGATCGCGATGGCCGCGCCGCTGTCGCCTGCCCCCCCCCCCCTCCCCCGTGTGCGTCTCATTCGGGAAGGCCCGTTTACCGAGCGACACCCATGGCTTCGGACACATTGGAGCTGGCGTTGCCGGGATTGCGGGGTGGTCAGGCGCGCTCCTAGTTCTCCCGACTCCCGGCGCCATCCTTGTTGCCTGTCCCCCATGCAAGTGGCCGTACCAGGGATCATCGGTCCATTATCGAGCGGGAGGGAGGGGGCGGGGGGGCGTTCTCCAGAGACCCCCTCCCAGCAGCTGCGCTCTTTCCCGAGACAAAACCAAAGGAAACCCAAGCTCTCTACCCGAGGGAAACATGGTGGCTGTCTGCAGGGGTGGGGGAGGTCCCGCGTCCCTTCTCCCCGCTGTTTCTCCCGAGGGGGTGGCGCCCCGGGGCTGGGTGCCTGTCCACACGGCTCTGCCGGGGCCCGTGTCCCCAGGCTCATATGCCCGGGCGCGTTCTGATCTCCCAATTTTTCCCCTTGGGTTCTCGTGCCAGGCCGCGTTCTCCTGGGCACCGGGAGGTGGCAGCGAGGGGCAGCGGAAGGGGAGGGGCGCGGCTCGGGCGATCATTAACCGTGTTAGGACGGAGCCCCGCCCCTGCACCGCCACGGGCCTCCGGGGCCCAGACACCGGAGAAGACCAAGCCACCATGCAGGGCCGGCCCAACCGAACGATGCCGCACGGATGCGCTACGTGACAAGCCCGAACTATGCCGAGCCGGCGGCGGACCGCAACATGGGGACCCTCGGAGCCGCACAGGCAGCCCTGGGGCCAGATGGCCGGTTTTGCCCAGGAGGTGCAAAGGTCAGTTGGCAGCGGCCCCTCGCGGCCGGGCTACGCAGCTCGCGGGTCGATGGCGCCGGTAGGTCTCCGCTGTCCCCCTGCGCCGTTTGAAGCGTGCCCCCACGCGACGCAGCCCGATCGGCACCGGTGCATGACCCTGGCGAGGGGGCCATGACAGCGGGCAGATCGGCCGTGACCGTGGCTGCTGCAACGGCCGCCTCCACGGATCTGGCGATGGCGAGGGGCTGGAGCCAGGCCAGTGCCGCTCATGGACCCGGGCCCACCTCCCCGGGCCTCGGCGACTGCCGAGTGTGTGGGGAAGAATGGTACACTCGGCCTGCGCCCCTGGGGGGGGGGGGGGGGGCATGTCTTCCCGACAGATTCCTCCACCGCCCACATCACTACGACCATTCGGGCAGGCGGCGACTCGGGACGCGAGGGGGCACAGGTGCGGGATTGGCGCGCCAGGGCGAGGGGCAGCGGCCGGGCGAGGAGGCAATTGACAGGCAAGGGCTGGCCATGAGTACACACACACACACACACACTTTCGGACATTGGGGCCCTTGGAGTGCTCGACTCCTGACGCCCCCGTAGGTCTGTGACATCAGGGCTCTTGACCTGCCGGGAACATGGACCTCCAGGTGGCCAGGAAATCCGCCGCACCCCGAGAAGGATGGGCTTGAAAAGTTGCCTTGGCACATTCGGCAGCAGCGCAGGTTGCGCACTGCACCCCTCTCCTCTCTCCTTCCGTGCCCCATCGCCGCATCGCTTCCCGCCTTTTGAGAACGCCACACCCAACTGTACACTCGCACGCACCCACGCACGCACGCACGCACGCACGCACACACACACACACACACGCACGCACACACATCCAAGCGTACACAAGGACGCCCCCGACAGTAGTAGACCTCGTGCTGGACGCGCACCTCTCGCTGTGCTCGCTATTTTTCCCCCCCGGTAAGGTGCGGCCTACCCGGTGGCAATCCATGCACTCCGCACAGCCCCACCCATCCACCATAACCACCCGCATCTTGGGCCGCTAACTCGCACGCCATCCCGGCACATGCCTCGGCCGCCAGCCCCAATGTCCAACAATTTTGACGCCGTCAAGGACGCGGCGGAGGCGACCATCGCCGCGGCTCTGGCCGCCGCACGCGGGCAGCCCATCTCGCCGATCGGGATTTCGGCCTCCTCGGCCACCCTGCGCTCGCCCTCGGTCGATGGCCTGAGTGGGGCCATGTCGGCCTCGTCGCTGGCCGAGTCGCCTCAGTCCGAGTCGGCCACGCGCCCGGGAACCAAAGCCCCAGCGAAGCCCGTCGACGGGGTGCTGACCCCGCGCGGTGCGTAGCGCCCATTTTCTTGCCCGCCGCCCGGGGGGGGGGGGGACGGCCCGATGACACGGCCTCGCGGATCCGCATCCGGGCCGGGGCCGCCCGGGACGCACGGCACCCGAAAGCACACTGACTGACACGGCGTTCGAAAAAAAAAAAACAAAAATAACCCACCCCACACACAGACATCGCCTGCAATGGGCTCATGTCGGACCTGCGGCAGCTCCTCTTGGGGAATGTCAAGTCGGTGTACCTGAACCGGTATGTGCACCCCCGGCGGTGTGTCTGGCGCGATCCGATGGTGGCCGCGCGCGGGCTCGACGGCATCGAGGACCTGCTCCAGGCCCGGGGGGAGATCTTCCACCGTCGCCGCGTGGTCGACCAACGGATCCACAGCATCCGGCCGATCTTGTACAAGCGTGGCGACACCAGCAACACCGTTGGCCGGTGGGTGCGCATGAAGGCCGAGATTGTCATGCGCTACCAGCTCAAGGAATCGCCCTACTGGATGCGCTACAAGTCCTTCAACCAGCGTGTCAAGCAGCTGCAAAAGCGCGACAAGACCGGCGTGGCCGAGGGCGAGTGCTGGCTCGAGGTGGTGCACCGGCTGGACGTGGACATGTTCGACTTGGTGGCTCACCGCGTGGCCGACCGGTGGCAGGGCATCCGCCTGACCGAGGGGACGGACCCGCGCACGCGCGACATCTACCAGGGGTTCGATGATGATGACGATGACTCGGATGGCGGGGCCACCGATGGCGGGAGCAGCTCCGATGGCAATGACAACAAGCGCGCCTCGCGGTGGTGCCTCCGCCGGGCGGCCGCCCGCCGGCCCAAGCTCTTCGTCCGGTCCCTCTGCCTGGAGCTCCAGCCCCTCAGTGACAATGAGGAGGAGCTGGAGGACGATGACGACGATGACGACTGCAGCAGCGACGACTACTTCCGCAACGAGGGGGACGAGTCCTCCTCCGGCGATGACTCCTCCTCCTCCGACGAGGACTCGGACGAGGAGATCTCCTTCGCCGACCTGCATGACCAACGGTCTCGCCGGCGCCCGGCCGGGGGCTTCCAGCGTCGGACCATGTCAAGTGGCTCGGCCGGGTCGGCCGGGTCGGCCAGCTCGCGCGGTGGCACCCGCGGCTCCTCGCGCATCGGCAGCGACTCCGAAGACGCCGAGTCCGATGTGTCCTCCTCGCGGTCCTCGCTGTCCGCCGGGGGCGGAGCCGGCAACCGCGGCCGGGCCACCCGGGCAGGCATGGCCACCACACGGACGGCCGGCAGGGGGGATGGGTCCTCCGGGCCCTCGAGCAGCCGGTCTTCCCGCAGTAGCTCCCTCTCGCGGGGGGAACGCAATGACGGGGGCCTCACTTCGTCGGGGGCCTCCTCGGCCGGCTCCTCTCGGAGCAACTCTCGCCCAAGCTCGCGCGCAGGTGGCACTCTGACGGACTCTGTCCGCCAGCGCCACGAGCGCAGCATCAGCACCGGCGCCGCGGCTCCCACATCCAGCTCGGGCATCCGCTCGCAGAATGGCTCCGGGCCTGCCAGTCCGACGCACCCTTCGCGCTAGAGAAGGAAACGCCCCTGCTCGCAGCCCGCGCCCCCCCCCCACACACACACAGACACACACACACTCCGGTGAATTCTCCGGGACAGGGGCCCAGCCCGGTGGGGATGGTGGATGTGTGTCTGGGGGGGGGGGGGGGGATGAGAGAGAGAGAGAAAGCGCGCGGGGAGTGCTTCTCACGTGCAGAGACGGATAGGACCCGCGCGCAAGTGGCCTCCCGTGCGCCATGTAAGCAACAAGACAAGTAAACCCGCCAGGGTATGGGGCCCCAGCTCGCGCATTGGCCCGATCTCCTCCCTTCTGTGTCCCCCTGCGATGGCCCCATCGCCGAGCCTCGGCGTCTATGTGTCGGCGCAGTGCACATGCCACAAGGGAGGCAGTATTTTCCCCACAGGGGCGGCTGGGCGTGAAGAAGCGGAGGAATGTGGCGCACGGGGGGAATATATAGCACAAGATAATAAGCACATATATTCAATACAATGTTCAACGAGCAAAGGCCCAAACTGAAGGCGAGCGTTGTACAAGATGGGGAAGGGACATGATATGGCATAGGGCAACGGCGAATGGGCGCAGGAGGCGGGGAGGGGGCGGGGGGGAGAGGGGGGGGAGCACACGGCCGATCGTCAATCGTGTGTGTATCCTGCAGAAGCGGAAGGGAAACCACAGGGAGGAAGGTCGGGAAGGGAGAGGGGGGGGCTAATGCGGAAGCCCAGCGAGGACGATGGATAGGGCTACTTCGTGGAGGAGGAAAGGGGGCGAGGGGCATGGTCCTTGTGGCGTCACCACCGGGATGCACGCGGGATTGGGATAAAAATCGCGTGCAGGTGATGGCGAGTGACGCCACACATGCATACATACGCATGCCGAGGAGACGGCATCGCCAAGTCTCCCAGCGGGAGGCGGGGATGCGCGGCGGGTCGGAAGGAGGAAGCCAACACCCGACATCCAAGAGGACAGGAAAAGGAGGCGAGGGAGCGAAAGGGACAGAGAGCCGGGGTGGGGGGGGGGTAGAGAGAGATGGGCATTGGCAGGGGGAGACAAGAGAGGCCAGAGCGAGAAGCACATGTGTGCATGAGAGAGAGAGAGAGAGAGGCAGCTGCGACATGCACAGAACAAGTCGCAACTCGGGAAAAGGGCGGCTGGCGAGAGGCAGCAAACCCGACCTCCTCGGCCATCACCCAATTCCCCTGTGGTGTGCCGGTTCAGGGGCCGCCATCGGGCGGGAAGAGGGCACGAGCCGTCGGACGGCCGCCCGATAACGACGACCCCCAGGCAAGCCCCAGCCCGGCGGAGGAGGGTCGGCGCTGGAGGCCCGGCTCGCCAGACTGCTCGATTCCGGCCATGGCATCAAGCTGACTGCCGGCGCCGGGCAACGCCGAGGGCGCGGAGTCTCGACGGCCGGTGGCCGACGCCATCGGCCCCGATGCTGCCGAGGGAGACCTGCTCGGGGGAGATGCCAAACAGAGACCATGGGCGGCGGCCACGGCAGCCGTCGGGGTGGCGCCGGATGAGGGCGTCATGGCCCAGGGAAGGGAGTCGCGCCGGCCCGTCGGCCGTGGGGCTGGCGGGGTGACCGGACGCGAGGCCCCGGGCCGGGCCTCCGGGAAGCAGGGCTCGGGGAAGCAGGACTCCATCGGACAGGGCTCCATGGAGGGAGCCGCCGCCGCCGCCGCCGCCGCCGCCGCCGTCGCCGTCGCAAATGCCAGGCTTCCCGCCGGGCTTGGCTCGATGCGATGCGATTCGGAGGCCGTCCGTGGCCGGCCGAATGGCCGGTCATTTTCCGCGCTCGTCCCGGGGATCAAGGGCCGCAGGAGCTGGCGATCCTCAGCCAGCCACCCGGCCTCCGGACGAATGGCCTGCGCGCGGACCGGCGCCCAGGGCGTGCTCAGGGCCGGGCGGCTTTTGGCGTCCGGCGTCCAGGGACACTGGGGGGTCGATGGGCCCGAGCCGGCCATGCCCGAGGTGACAGGACTGGCATCTGAAAGATCGGCCCCCGCGGCCGGCGGGGCCCCGGTGGCAAGTTGCGGGGTCAATGGCCGAGTGGGAACCGGTGGCAGGGGCACCGGCCGCGGCCGGCCGGTCGGCGGATGGTGCCCTTGCCGGGAGGGCGTGGCCGGCTGGCCGGGCCGGGTGCCGGAGGGATGGCCGGGCCGGGTGCCCGGCGCCACCCCCGGGCCCCGGGGATTTGTCCCCATCACCGGCGAGGGGGTCTGATAGATGCAGCGCTCGGGAGCCGGAAGTGTCGGTGACACGGGCACAGAGGACCCGAGGCCCGGCGCGGCCAAGTCCGAGTCGGGCGGCGAAATCTGGAAGCCGGGATCAAGGTCCGCTGGACCGGCGGTGTGGCGGGAGCCGGAGTCGGGATCGGGACTGGAATCGGACTCGATGTCGGACCCGGATCCGGACCCATCGCCGCCGGTGCTGAGGCCGACTCGCGGGCGTTTCCGGCGGTCATCCTCCATCACCGGCGACTGCGAGGGGGCCTTGGCAAGGAGAATGGCCTCCGGGCCTGGGCGATGGGCGCTCGGGGCCGGGGAGCCAAGGAGCAATTGCATGGGCGACAGGTGTTCCTGCTGCAGGTACTGGCTGACGGCGGTCTGTTGCAGATCGATGTCAAGCAGATCGAGCATCTCGGTGTCTGTGCCACTCGGGCCTGGGGGAGGCTTGGGCCCGGCGGGATGGTCCCCCCTGGCCGCCTTACTGGCGACAGGCGACGCTGGGTCGCCTAGCGGTGGCTGTTCGGATGCGGCACTCTGTTGAGGCATGACCAGACATTGATCCACAGGCGGGGGCGGGGAACAGCGCGGCACGGGGTCGACAGGGGAGGAGGAGGGACCAAGGGGGCGGGAGGAGGGGGGGGAGGGAGAGAGAGAGAGAGAGATGGAGAGGGAGAGAGAGCTTGGGCTGGGGGGTATGCTCGAAGCACAAGGTAATGCGACAATCGGCGAAGGAGGGGAGACAGGCAGAGGGAACAGGAAGGGGGGGGGAGGGGAGGGGAGGAAGGGGGAGCAGAGATGCCCGAAGGAAGCAATTGTGATTGGGGAGCCCGGCGAAAAGAGGGGGGGCGGGGGTGGGATGTGCGCGGCGCCATCCGGGGTCGCCACCTTGGCGGAGCCGGTCTTTTGGGTGGGGGTTGATCGCATCATTCGAGGCTCCCCCCCCCCCGGGGGGGGGGACGTCTGGGAACCGCGACCGGCCAGCAATCGCACCTTGTACGAAAATTCCTTTTTCATCTCCCAAGGCTGGAACCACAGGGGGGGGCCCCTGCCTCTATGTGCTTCTGAAGGGCAGGGGGGCGGGGAGGCCGAGGACTTCTCGGGAGGGCCATTGTTTAGACCGACATGCTCCACGGACGCCATCTGCATGCAGAACTGGATGCGTTCCCTCGCGAGGGCCTCGAAAGCGTTCGATGGGGGAAGGGGGCCGGCAGCATCAACAAGACCCGGAATAGGATCCAGCTGTTCAGAGACCTACCTGCGGGTCCGGGCAACCCGACCACATTGTGAGGCTCGGCCGCCGACGCCGGGACCAGGAACCCACGGCACGGGGGGCCGGGGAGATCGACGCCCCCTGCGGCACAATCGGAGAGCACCGCCAGGGGGCACAGGGGGCGGGGCGGGGGGGGGGGGGGGGGGGGGGGGGGGGGGGGGGGGGGGGGGGGGGGGGGGGGGGGGGGGGGGGGTGAGCGGGCAACAGCACGTCCGCCCGGCCGCCAGGGGAAAGAAGGCAGGGTCCTTCTGCCCCGCCCCCGCCCCCCCGGGCCGCAAGTCGCGGTGGATTCCGATCAGGCAGCATCTCCAACAGCGGCGATGGGACCGGGCTCCCTAGCTCGGGCCCCGTGTCGACGGCTGCCGGGGCAGTCGCCTCGGCCCGCCTGTCTACCGACGGGTTCCCCCTTTTCCCCGGATGGAGGGCACAATGCCGGCCGGGGCCGTGGTGTCCCCGAACATCCCCCCCCCCCCCCCCGGAGCTGCGACCGGGCTCGGGCCGCGATATCTCCAAGCCCGGCCGGGAGAAAAGAAGGCAGTCAAGAACCCATGTTGACTCGGGACCACGCACATACACCCAACAGGATGGGACGCCCCAACACGCGGGCGAGGACAGCGAACAGGGCGCACTGGGCATTTCTCCCGACGCCGGGGCGGATGGGCCGGACGGCGCCTGGTGCACAGTCCCCCCCCCCCCCCCCCCAACACACACACACACACACACACGCACGCACGCACGCACGCACGCACGCACACCCCCCGCTCTCAGCTGAAGGCCTCGGGCGCCCGGCGAGAGCGCCAAACCAGGAAACTCCCCACGCACCCGGAGCAAGGAGGGGGGACACCGGCGGCCGCCCCGGGGTGTGTCGGCCAGAGCGCACCGGGGCCGGCGGGCGCGCCGCCGCACATTCACAAGCCGATGGCGGTGGCAGGGGGTCGGCAGGAGGAGGCCCCGGTCGCCTGGGCCTTGTTGGCCTCGGTAATATCGAATAAATATGCCTGAAATATGGCCAAGGAGTGTATGGCCAACAGAGGGGCCTTCTATCGGTGCCACTTTCCCGTGTGCGCCCTGCCGGTTCCGGCGCACCTGCCACACTCAGTGGAGCAGGCCGGAGGGCGGCTCCGGCGCCCCGCCCCCCGGCCGGCCCCCCCCCGGCCCACGCCGGCCGGTAGTCCATCGCTGGGCGTTTCACTCGCGCACATCGAGCCCGCCTTGGCCCGAATGATTCGGCCCCCCTGCCGCCAGCCCCACAGGAACGATGGCGTAGTTCCACCCCTGCCGGCGCCCCCCCCCCC